TTGATTTTTGGTTTTGTTTTGTTGGTTGATTTTTATCAAAAAAGACACTAAAACAAAGAGGCTGAAAGAGACTTTGAGAAGTTGATTTAGGGGACCAAAATGAAATTTAATTTTTGAATAAATATTCCACCTCGATCAGTGGCTGGAGGCTGCATTTCTCTTTTTAAGGTGACCCTAAATAAACCCCAAATACAGATCCCACTTCTGGAGTACAAATAGCTCTGCGACTGACTCAGAATTGGAATTTTTAGCTCGATAAATAAATAAATAGAGTCTGGAGATGTTGTCTTCAGCTTTGTGACAGAAGACAAGATTTGGGGGAATTGCAGACTGGAGCACATGGAATAATTCAGGAATTCCAGGAGCAGGGACTGCCCTGCTGTGTGGTGCAAGAAGTGTCTCCCTCCTCCACACTGAAAACTCTGGTCTTGGAATTTTGGGGATAATTTGACTCTTTCCAGTGTTGATCCAAGTGTTGATCCAGGCCCAAAGTGAAGCTGTTTCCAGCAGGTTTATTTTGGGACGTGGCGCTTGACAGAATTTAATAAAATATTCCTAAGGGCACGGCTTTATTTTTAGTTGGGAACCGGAGAGCAGGAGGATAAAGTGAGTTGGAATCGTGGGTTAGACACTGACATTTCATGGATTAAAGGGGTTTGGCTCCTTTAATTAGAGGAATAAATGAGGATATGAATGTTTATCTGCCACTGGAATCTGCTTCCACCAGAGGTCCCTCGTACCCTGCACAGGGACGCTGCCGGGTGCTCCAGAGTTTCCCCAGCATTGATCTCGGGGCTCGGCACCGCGGGCAGCGGCGGGGCCGGGCTCAGCACCGCGGGCAGCGGCGGGGCCGGGCTCAGCACCGATGATAGCGGCGGGGCCGGGGCCGGGGCTCAGCACCGATGATAGCGGCGGGGCCGGGCTCAGCACCGATGATAGCGGCGGGGCCGGGCTCAGCACCGATGGCAGCGGCGGGGCCGGGGCCGGGGCTCAGCACCGATGGCAGCGGCGGGGCC